ACACTAGTCAATTATAAATTGAGAGAATCTCTGACACACACTTCATTATATCTGAATGCTACATTGTTTTAGGGGTCCATGAATTTAATAACATGGAAGAAAGTCATCTGATGTTGTCTATTATGGAAAACCAATGTGTGTGTAGGACCCCAAAGAGGGTAACTGGTGGATGCAGTTTGGAAGTGATCATGTTATGGGATACTGGCCAGCTTCTCTGTTCTCGCACCTTTCTGACAGTGCCTCAATGATTGAGTGGGGGGGAGAGGTTGTGAACTCTGAATCTGATGGCCAACACACCTCAACTCAAATGGGAAGTGGCCATTTCCCTGAGGAAGGTTTTGGCAAGGCTAGTTACTTCAAGAACATTCAGATTGTTGATGGTAACAACAAGCTAAGAGCTCCAAAGGATCTTGGCACTTACACTGAGCAAGATAGCTGCTACAATGTTCAAACTGGCAGTGCTGGAGATTGGGGTAACTACTTCTATTATGGTGGTCCTGGTAGAAACCCCAATTGCCCTTGATCATTCATGTCAAGCAAAGAAAACTGAAAAGAAAAAAAAAGGATGAGTAGGTGTTCTTTTTGTCTAGTTTAGCTGTTTTAGTAACTTGTGGTACAACTTAGAGTTGTGGTGTATAATGAAGCTCTTGATCCTTCAAAGTCTCCAAAAAATTGTTGGAGAAAAAGGCAGTGAGTTTCTTAGATTTACAAGAAACAAGTTTCTTCATTGGTTTTCCTGTTTATATATATATATATATATATTTGTTGTTTTTGTTTGCTCCTCTCTCCGGAGCTGTGAAGGCTGAGTTGTGAATGTGAACAGAATATTCTGTTATGGTACATGGAGACTGTATTTTTTTATTTTAATTACTGCCATGTTCCGTCAGTGAAAAGCTGTCTCAATAAGGACATTTGTTTATGTTTATGCTCTTGCTTGTGACCTAACCTAAGTGGGTGGATTTTTAATTGAAGAAAGTAATGGTGGAAAGAAAGAAAAAAAAAATGAGAGATACATGCACACATGTGATTATGCAGTTCAAGAGTAGTCTAATTTAGTCACTTCACATCTTTGTGGACAATTTATGGCATTAAAGTTTATGTTTTTATAATTGGAATATACTTCACATCAATTATCCTAGACTATAGAAGAGCTTAGAAAAAGAGAAAAAAGATGTGAAGAAACGCGTTATCTCCTTATTGTGATGCTGATATAGATGGACCCATATATGAGATTGGATTGTATGTTAGTGTGGCAAGCTAGCATTTTCTTTCATAAAAGCCACCCTTGTGGTTGGTTATGCACCCACCTCTTTATCACTTACCCTTAATTTATTCATATATTTATATTTATTTGACCCTTTAAGAAAGTAGCATTATATATACATGTATACAACTAGGGGAAAAGCTTTATGATTTATCTACTAAGTATATACAAAGAGATTGTTCTATAGAGTAATACTATCAGAGTGAAGTTTTTTATATTGTCAATCAATTATAAAAATTAATACTCTTTTTTAGTTTATTGTTAATGAATGATTGGATAAAAAAAGTATTTTACACTCTCATTGTAGCTCAATTAAGTCTTATATAATAAATCAAGTGTTTTCTCTTATTGAAAACTTGTGTTCAAACATATTTATTTAAAGGGCTGTTCAGAAATTGTAATAAATCGTGTTTATATCCAACTGAATTGAATTGAATTAGAAAATTTCAGTTATTTGAAAAATTATTATTTTTTAATTTAGTTCTTAAAGATAAATTGCTTATAAATATAACTATTTTGACTAAACTTTGATTAAGTTTACTTACAATATATTACAATTCAATTAACTTTGTCTAAACAATTATGCATATCCGTTTTATCAAATCCTTTTTATAGTTGAATTACATTTGACTATTATTTTATTCATGCATTCAGCTTCAATTTAAGATGATTTCATTGTTGTTGGTTTATGTCCATGCTTTTCATATCAATTGTTTTAGCAAATTAGAACAAGGGTTTTCATTTGAAGAGTTAATTCATTGTTTATTTTGTTTATTTTCTTTTTTCTTAATGGAAAAAAATATATAAACTTCCATTACAAAAATAGACGTCTTTGGAGTTCCAATACAAATTTTGTAATCAATCAAGAACAAAAAACATATTGTGAACTAATTAAAACGAATACCCCATCATTAATCATATGGTAATTTTTATATGAATTTGTATAATGCTCATGAAGTGTACTCAATGTTAAGTCCACCCCAATTTTGAAAAGCATGGCTTTTAAGTTCAATTATTATGTCTTTTTTGTCGTATGATTTAAAAATTAACTCTCCACCCCATACGTTTGGTTAAGATAAGGGTAAAATGACACAATTAAAAATATAATAACTTGAATTGAAATACGTCATTAGTGTTTTCTTTTATTATGTTTGTTGAAGTTCTTGTTTTTTCTTTATTGTGACTGGTTGTTAAACCTCTTGTTAAGTCCCGTTAATTATGTTTCAGCTTTACATGAAGGAGAGAAATCGGAAAAGATACTTTTTTTTCAATTGGGTTTAATAGCTTTATAAAAAGATTTCATCTTTTCCTTTCTTTAAAAAACCAAATAATGATATTGCAAAGAGATGTGAAAGTTCTATCACTTGTCATGATTGCATAATTAATCCAATCATATTGCTGATGGAAAATTTCGTATCAAAAAGACCTTCTGTTAGAGAGCTACAAAGTTAACCTTAATCATGCAATTAAAATAAATAATCAAGATTATAATTACGTGACCAATTATATATAGTTAATAGTAATGATTAAATCTTATATCTTATGATTTTCACGAGTAAGTTAAGGTTTTGAATAATATAAGGTTTCTATAAATAGGTAAGTCTTATTTGTTTTTTTGTTTTATCATGAAGCGCTATTGAAATAAAATTTAGTGAAGAAAATATGAATATATGAGCAGTAGAAAATAGTTTTATTTTTTTTATCGGTAAAATAATATATTTGATCCAGAAATACTTGGAGTGTTCAAATTCATCTACAAACTTCCATAAATAATTTTATATGAGAAATTTATAAATTATTATTATTATTAATAATTTTGATAAACAATTTTTCATAATTTTATGAGTCTACACTTTATCATATTTTTTTAATATATAATTAATCTTCATCAAAGAATTTAATTGATTATGGTGGAATTTTTCTTCTTGACTTTTAATAAAAAAAAAAGTCTAAGTTCATTATTACTGGCACACTTAATTAAATTGTTGTTCATTCATGTTAAATCCCCTCTCTTGTAAAAAAGAAAAAGAAAAGGAATGGAAGGATATAAATTTTACTCTTACATTTTCCCCTTATGTTTTCTCTATCCATTGAATTAAATGGTAGATGAAATTTAAAAATGTTTGTTATTATTCCTTCAGCTTAATTTCTCCTGAAGCAAATGTTCTATATATATAAGTATGTCTCCTACACATATACACATATATGTTTATTAAATGGCATAGTTTTTTAGCAAAGGTCTACAAGCCCTAGAAAGAAGGTATCTCTTCATAATTGAAGTGAGATCACATGTCCTTTCAAACCTAGGTTGTGTTTTTTCTTTGGAGAAATAGTGATACATTAATGGTGTTTGGGAAGAAGATTGAAAATGGAACACCATAGTGTTTAATTTAGATTCCTATAAAGGTTGGTGCAAGTAACACTTAGGAGTCAATTTCTCATAATGAATCCATTAATGTGCTTGATGGTGAGTTAGGGTAAATTGCTCATTGCAAAACCCTTTTTACCCAAATGTTAGTTTTTGAAGTCAAAGCATGAATTGATGCCACATGTGATGTGAGTCCATGTTGTGTGCCATAGAGCTGTCCATCAATACATAAATAATTAATGATTAGTTGTTGTCCCATTCAACAAGTTTTTCAAACATATCCAAGTTAGGAACGCCAATTATGCTAAAAGGATAAGGCTTTGATTTTCAGATATATTTCTACTTTTATTCTCTCCAAAATTTTCATAAACTTCATTTTTGTGAATTTCAATTATATATATGGTAATTGTAGTGGATACATTTGTATCAATTTTGTTGACATGATATATTAATCTTAGAATTTTATATATATATATATATATGGTTAAGTCATACGATTAAGAAGTATATTTTTATAATTTAAATATAATTTATAATATATTTAATATAATAAAAAATATATTGCTAGATATTATATTATTGAGTTAAGAATTTACTATTAATACATGATTGTCTTAAAATATACTTTTTAAAAATATATGACACTGAACCAAGTAATGGCCTATAACATAATTTACGTTTATTTATAAATTATCAATCACCTATGACTTCGTATGGATTAAACATAATCTTATAAAATGAAATGTTGTATGGATTAAAGATGATCTTATAATATGAAAATTTAAATTTACAATCTAGGTTGGAAATGTATATATTTAATAACGTGCCTAATGGAGATAGTGCCTAACACGTATTTGAGTTGGAGTCAACCACAAATAATGTCTTTGACAAACCAAAAGTAAAGAACGAGCAATGATTTTTTTTAGTGTGTTTTGATTACCATGGAAGAATTAATCTCATATTAAAAATATATCCTATCAATTAATTGAAAATAATCTCAAATTCAATATTTAAAATAATTAGAACAAAAACTAACAATATCGTCATGCATATTTTTTTCGTCTTGGTGTGAGTTTTTTTGAATTAGTTGAATAAGTGAATCAGAAACTAATAATGACCACAGTGAATATTGTGCTATTTGACCATAGTTGACTAAAACTTTTTTGGTGTTTATCATAATTAATCTTTAGAACCTTTTAAATGAATGATATTAGATCCAGGTTAACGTTAGTTTAGATTGATTTGAATGGTTTCCAAAGCATACACTATTATATTTTATTCATAGCATGCACCTTCTTTTTATTTATTTTGAATTTTGAATATTGTTATTGTCATCCAAATAACCTTAAACAATGTTCTTCAAATAGATAGCAAAACAACATTTGTGAACTTTAAATAAAAAGTGCTCTACAATCAAGGTAGATTGGAAACACATTCAAACAACATATTAAAAAAAAAAACATGCAAATCAGTGATGAATGACGAAATCCACGTAGGTAGATTCCTGTTTATTACATAATATATGATAAGTTCCCATACAAATACGTAGCAGAAAAAATGTTGAGCATGCTTGCAGCAAACTCCAATTCCAAGTTTCAACCAACCCTGCCAAAAATTGTACCAAATAATTAATAAAATCAATTAAAAAGAAAACAAGTAATTTAATTCGAGTGTAAAAAGTTTCCCACAGGGTCAAAAATGTATGAAAATAAGGGTGAATGAAGAAAATAAACCCAGACTTTTCATTAATATTTAAAAGTTATTAAAAAAAGTCACCAAATTTCACTCATTATTTGATACACTCACAAAGTAATAATAAAATTATTAAAAATAATAATTCTGTACTAAACAAGCTTTTTCAGAAGTATTTTTAGTATAAAGTAAGAAAAAACAAATGAAACGAGAGATTCTTTGCAAATTAAAATGAACATTTTCATAAATTAAAAACGAAAAGTTGAAGAAATCATATGAAAAGCTTCTACAAATGGCATCATGCAGGTAAAACTGTCTGATAATGTTTTTCTGAAAAGATTGTGCTAATTAAAGAGTGTTTTGTCTTGTTTTCTTGTGAACATTGGTTTTATGTGAAGGCTATAAATGAATGTTACTTGGAACAATCTGCATTGGGGGAGATAGACACAGGAAGCGTTATTCCACAGTTTCCTGGAAGAGCCTGAGCCAATTGTGAGTTTATGCTGATACTCTTGGCAGTGGATTTGATGCAGTTACAAGCAGTTTTCTTATCCTCTGTTGTTGATGCAGCTGACGCAAGAGCCTTGGCTCCTGAGCAACATGCAGCAGGTGGCAGTCCACTGCCACTCACCAAGTAGCTCACACAAGGCCTCAAGTCCTTGATCACATCACTGCATGAAATTGCAGCCTCTGAAGTTGAAACAACAAGGATCAGAAGCACAAGGGCAGCAAATTCTCCTGAGAACTTCATGATTGCTGAAAACAGATTATAATAATGGTGATGCTTATGCTGCTATGAATCTGCATTGTTTCCCTTTCACCATTTATAGAGCTTCAAAGTTAAGCTGAAATCTGCAAGTAAGGATATTGATTTGACTAATGAGTGCAAGAAAGAAGAAACTTGTCTTTTTGATATTCTAGGTTAGGTGGAAGTGTGGTGAAGGAGGGTTTGCTGAGTTTCAACAAGTAAAATAGCCATCTGAATGTTCATTGGAGCAAGGGGTTATTTTTCTTTTATGATTTCCATTTCATGCAGGAGTTTGATCACTTAACCTGCTTATAAAAACCATTAATTTTGATGGAAGTAAACCTTGTGAGTGGTGTCACCCTAACAACTTTGTTGATAACAGTGACAGTTTCTCTATTCATGAACAAAATCATGTGCAAGTTATTATCACAGGATCATTATGTGGCTCTGAAATGTGTTTTCATTGTTTGCAGCAATAGGGCCCTCAATTGGATATCTCAACCATACATTATATAATATTCATAATTTACATTAGTTTATCTCAGAGGCTCTTGCTATCACCAGTCACTGCTTTTGATACATGCATTTGCTTGGCTGTTCGCCATTTACATAATTATTCACAATTTTTTGTCTGATGGAAACTTATCGTACTTTTTAGGTTTGTGTCCTTTATTATTATGTTCGTTTTTCCTTGATATATATATATATATATATATATTCCAATCTATCGTTGTTGATTGTTCAAGTAGTCTCAAGCATTATCATATCATTAACAGGGATGTGACTGATTTATTCTTATGATTAAATATATTGTGGCAAAGACTCTTTTTGTGTGAACCTCTTAGGGTTGAAGTTTAATTTCCACCTTCAAATTATGTTACGAAGCTTGTACGTGTGTTATTTTTAAGTCTGATATGCTTAGAAGGTAAATAAAAAAATTTTGTATTAAAAAAAATAAATTAAATTAAAATTTAGTTTATGTAAAAGTTAAAAATTAAAGTTTAAAAGACTTATAAAAAAAATCTACGAATTTATTTATGAATAATGTTTTTTTCTAAAAGTCTCGTCTAAACATTAAAAGGAACACTTTTAATAATATATATATATATATATAT